TTCTATCTAAATATTATAATTAATTATTATTATCAATTTGATATATCACAATGTTATGTTTCCATTTCTATTATTTTTATAACATTTACTCCTTAAAAAAAGTAAATAATATAACTTGGATAATCAAAAACCTTGATTTTACTTAACAAGAATTAATAAAAATATGATTATATTTGTAATCATTGTCATAATAGAGTACAACTCAGATCAATTAAAACATTTTGATATTAATTTACTCAATATTAATCAAAATATACTTACTGTACTATTATAATAATTAAAGAAATTTATTTGACAAATATTAATGTAAATATATTTTCCAGATAAAGGTAAAAAATATAACTGATTACAGTAATACTTTATATGAATTCACTTAACAAATATTAATAAAAATAAGCTTACTATCTATATTAATATTTAAAGTAAAGAATATAACTAGTGTTAATAAAACATTATTGATATAAATTTACTAACAAATATTAATAAATATATGCTTACTAGTCAAAGTAATAAATATAATTCAAATTAATTAAAATATCTTTGATATTAATTTATTTAGCAAATATAGATAAAATTATATTTTTCCTAAAAGCAAATAATATTACTCAAATCAATTAAAACACATTTGATAATGTCAATTATTAAATTTGATGAAAACAGCAAAACATAAATTCAATTAAAATAAAAATAAAATACATACTGTATATAATACTTTTCCTGTAGTACATTTTTTGTATCAAGGGAGGTTTATTAATAATAATCAACTCAACAATTCAGCCTGATATATGATACTAAAAGCAAATAATTGTTATCATTATATTGCAACCAATACTCCATTTTCAAAATGGATAATAAATCAAAGTGCTTATCTCTTCATATATTGTGTATGCATAACCATTATCAGATGGGCTTTTTAATAAAATTATACAAAATGGATTTAAATTTTAAGAAAGTGAAAATATGCTTACAGCTTGTAATCATAATTAAAGTAAAAAATATGACTCAGATCAATTAAAAAACACATTTGATATGAATTTACTTAATTAATATTAATGAACTTGCTTGTTGTCTGTGATAATGGATAATTAAAGAATATAACTCATATCAATTAAAATATTGTAAATAATTACTCAAAAGATATTAATGAAATATGTTTAATAACTAAAAGTAAAAAATATAACACAGATCAATTAAATACCTTTTGAATGAATTTGCTCACAAATATCAATAGAAATATTCTTAGCACCTGGAATTATAGCTATAGTAAAGAATACAATCCAGATTAATAAGATACCTTGTATGAATTTACTCAACAAATATTAATGTAAATATGCTTACTGACAAAAGTAACGAATATAGCTAAGATTAATTAAAACACTTTTAATACGAATTACTTAACAAATATTAATGAAAATATGCATATCCCTAAAAGAAAAAAAATATAACTCGAATCAATTAAACACCTTTAATATTAATTTATTTAACAAATATTAATAAAATTTGCTTACCATCTGATTATTATTAATTAAAGTATATAACCAGATCAATTAAAGCACCTTTGATATAAATTTTTACTTAATAAATACTGTATTAATGAAAATACGATTACCCTCTAAAAGAAAAGAATATAACTCAGATCAATTAAAACACCTTCGATATGAATTTACTTGAAAAATATTAATTAAATATGCCTACGGTCTGTAATTGTAGTGAAAGAATATAATTCAGAGCAATTAAAATACATATAATATAAATTACTCGACAAATTTTAATGAATATATGCTTACCGACTAAAGTTAAGAATATAACTCAGATTAATCAAACACCTTTATGAATTTAACAAGTATCAGTGAAAATACGCTTACTGTTTGTAATCGTAGTTTAATTCACTCAACAAATATTAGCGAATATATGCTTACTGTCAGAAGTAAAGAATATAACTAGAACACATTGACATGAATTTAATTAATCCTAGCCTTTATTATAATTGTTTAATGCATTAATAAATACTTAAGACTGATCATTTTTTTTATATTTGATACGTACGTATTACTGTACTGTATATAAAACATGTGATTAATTAAATTCTAGTAAAATACTGTATCCGGTAAATCATTTTCGATAAAAGAAAGTTCAATTATGGAATGATAAACATTTTTATCAAGAATATCGAAATTGATCAAGTGATTAATACAGTAATGGTCGATCTTTCTTTTATCGAGAGTTGACCAGTAATTTCATTGCATTGCCATCACTTTTATTATATTTTGAACTGCCATTAATAATGGATTTTACTAAAAGAATGATTGAAGCAGCCATAGGTAATATTTATTAATCTGTTGAAATGTTTTAATTGATCTGATTTATATTCTCTACTTTTAGGGAGTAAGCGTATTTTTATTAATATTTATTAAGTAAATTCATATCAAAGATGTTTTAATTGATCTGATTTATATTCTATACTTTAACTACGATTACAGACGGTGAGCATATTTTCATTAATATTTATTAAGTAAATTCATATCAAAGGTGAGATTGATCTGATTTATATTCTTTACTTTAACTACGATTACAGACGGTAAGCATATTTTCATTAATATTTATTAAGTAAATTCATATCAAAGGTGGTTTAATTGATCTGATTTATATTCTTTACCTTAACACGATTACAGACGGTGAATATATTTTCATTAATATCTATTAAGTAAATTCATATCAAAGGTGTTTAATGATCTGATTTATATTCTCTACTTTTAGGGAGTAAGCATATTTTTATTAATAATTAAGTAAATTCATATCAAAGGTGTTTTAATTGATTTGATTTACATTCTTTACTTTAACTGCGATTACAGACTGTAAGCATATTTTCATTAATATTTTTTAAGTAAATTCACATCAAAGGTGTTTTAATAGATCTGATTTATATTCTTTCTTTACTTTTAGGGAGTAAGCATATTTTCATTATTTATTAAGTAAATTCATATCAAAGGTGTTTTAATAGATCTGATTTATATTCTCTACTTTTAGAGAGTAAGCATATTTTCATTATATTTATTAAGTAAATTCATATCAAAGGTGTTTTAATTGATCTGATTTATATTCTCTACTTTTAGAGAGTAAGCATATTTTCATTAATATTTATTAGGTGTTTTAATTGATCTGATTTATATTCTTTACTTTAAACTACGATTACAGACAGTAAGCATATTTTCATTAATATATATTAGTAAATTCATATCAAAGGTGTTTTAATGGATCTGATTTATATTCTTTACTTTAACTACGATTACAGACAGTAAGCATTTTTCCATTAATATTTATTAAGTAAATTCATATCAAAGGAGTTTTAATTGATCTGATTTATATTCTCTACTTTTAGGGAGTAAGCATATTTTCATTAATATTTATTAAGTAAATTTATATCAAAGTGTTTTAATTGATCTGATTTATATTCTTTACTTTAACTACGATTACAGATTTCTTTACTTTAACTACAATTACAGATTGTAAGCCTATTTTCATTAATATTTATTAAGTAAATTCATATCAAAGGTTTTTTAATTGATTTGATTTGTATTCTTTCTTTAACTACGATTACAGATTGTAAGCATATTTTCATTAATATTTATTAAGTAAATTCATATCAAAGTTTTATATTCTCTACGATTACAGATCGTAATAATATTTTCATTAATATTTATTAAGTAAATTCATATCAAAGGTGTTTTAATTGATCTGATTTATATTCTCTGCGATTACAGATTGTAAGCACGTTTTAATTAATATTTATTAAGTAAATTCACATCTAAGGTGTTTTAATTTATCTGATTTATATTCTACTTTTAGGGAGTAAGCATATTTTCATTAATATTTATTAAGTAAATTCATATCAAAGGTGTTTTAATTGATCTGATTTATACTCTTTACTTTAACTACGATTACAGGCGGTAAGCATATTTTATTAATAATTGTTGAGTAAATATATATTAAAAATGGTTTAATGGAGTTACATTTGCTGTTTGTTATTAGATCGAATATTTTCGAGTATTCATATTAATAATTCAATCAATTTTTAGATAAATGCAATCAATGTGAAGAAAAAACTACAAGTTATTTTTGGTGTCGTTCTTGCAATTCTTATTTCAAAAAAGATTTCTCTAAATGGACTAGCGGAAATAAAGATGTTGATGAATTCATACAAAATGCACAGTTAGAAGCAACAAGTTATGTTAAAGTACTTGAATGGATTCCATATGAAAAATTCGAAAATATCGAAGAAATTGGTGAGGGTGGTTTTTCGAAAGTTTATTCTGCTAAATGGAAGGATGGAAATATAATGTATCGTAACAAACATGGTCAATGGAGGAGATTCGGAGAAATTAAAGTTGCACTGAAATGTTTAAATAATTCCCAAGAAATATCTAAGGAATATTTAAATGAGGTGATAGTTATACTTTTAATGCCTTTCGTATTGTTTTAATAGAATTGTGTATTTATGAATAGAAAGTAAAAATAACTTTATTTATAACTACATATAGGTAAAAAACCTTCATAAACTAAACGAAGACTATTCTAAAATTACCCGATGCTATGGAATCACCAAAGATAAGGAATCAAACTTTGTGATTGTTATGCAGTTTGTAGATCATACTAAGGCAATTCACGAGTTATCGTGGAGAGACAAATTCAAGCGCATATTTTTTATCGCATTTGGATTATACGATATTCACAAAGCCAAATTAGTTCATCGGGATCTTCATCCTGGAAATATTCTTTTTTCTAAAGAGAATGATGCAGTTTACATAACAGATTTAGGTTTATGCAAACCAGCTTATTCTAATAAGAGAGACGATAAACTATATGGAGTTCTTCCTTATGTAGCACCCGAAGTTTTGCATAAAAGAGAACATTCAGAGGCTGCAGATATTTATTCATTTGGAATTATCATGTCTGAAATACTTTCTGGCATTTCCCCTTTTAAAGATACTGATTGTGATGATATGGAAGAAAGCAACGCTCTTGCGATCGGAATCTGTAATGGAGACCGACCAGAAATTCAAGATTTGCCTCCTTTAATAGTCGAATTGATAAAAAAATGTTGGGACGCTGATCCTGCAAAAAGACCTCTTGCAGAAGACTTGTGTAAAATTTTACATGCGTGGAAAACTTTTAACTCTAATTCCGAACTTGCTAAACAAATTAATGAAAGTAATCCGAATCGGATACGTCATTCGACAAGCCATATAGATCAAACTATTAGTACAAGTGAACTTCTTTGTACAAATATACTTCTTGGTGGAATCAGGCCCATTCGTACAAGTAAACTTCTTGATTTTAGAAAATATCTTCCTCGACCCAAAAATTCCAAAAGTGATGTGAATTAGACAAGTTAATTGTTAAGTTTAAAAGGTCGACCTTTTTATTTCAATGCTTAAGGTAATGTATGTTATATAATTGAATTTTCTTATACACATGTTAGTGAGACTTTAATTTATAATAATTATTTTTAGAAAAAATAGTTAAAATTCCAAATATTAAAGCAAATGATGATTATATAAAAACATTAATACTATATAAATCAAAAAAATTATTATTGAATTTCTAAACCATTTAGTTGTTTTCTTTTATTTACAAGGGTCAACAAGACTTCTGTTTTCTTTATATGGATTTAATATTCGTTTCTTATATTATTTAAATTATAAGTTAATCTTCCTTGGTAATGTTATTATTTATTTTATTTCGAATTCAACAATTGTGATTTCATGTCAATATAATTTTTTCTTCTTGGTAAACTGGCTTGTAATACAAAAATAAAAAGATAATTATATAAAGAAAGAGTTGAGTGTTTTGTTCATTCTCGAAATATGAAAGCTATAAGCATGGAAATTATTTGATTCAATTTAAGTTATTATTTAATAATTTTTCGTATACAATATTCAATCCAAATTTTTTTAATAATTTTACAATACACAAATTATTATTTGAATACTTTTATATTAAAATTTTATTAATTTAATTTAAAATTTTTTTATTATTTATACTTTGATATTTTTAAAATGATTATTATTGTTTACATACAATATTTGATTTGATTTTATAAATTTTTTTAATCATTTAATTATTGTTTTAAAAATTATAATATATAATTTGAAGTAAAATATTGTTTAATTAATAAAAGAAATAAATGCAATAAAATCTTCATAAATTTTCTTTATTCCACTTAAATGTGCTAGTGCCATATACTTGTCAAATATTGGGAAAATTAAAGACTAAAAGATATTGGAATTGTTATATAAGCCCATCAAGCCTAGCATTCCTGTTTACAACCAATTAAGGTCTCTAGAAATAGTTAAAAAAAAAAGCAAGTTTTCTTGTTTAATAAATAGAATTAAGATACAAATCATTTCTTGAAGTCATCATATGCATCCTAACAGTACATTTTTGAGAAATTTTAAAAAATATTAAATACAGTCAAAAAAAATCTAAAAAAGTTAATCTAATATTTAATATCTCTAAACTATATTCTACTATCTGTGATTAGCTATACTATTTAATTTTTTTTTAAATTTCCATTAATCAAGAATATTTAAGAACACTTTCAGAAAGATATTTCTTTGAAATTTTATATTTGTTGAATTTTGATCAGAAAAAATATTTTTCTATTGACAATTTCTTTTCTAATTATTGCTTTTTTCAACTGGTAATTAATTTCAAGACCTTTTCTTTAATAATTTTTAGAACAAATAAATAAACTTGAATTTTTTCCAAATTGAAATAAGATGTTTTCTTTTTCTTTTGTTTTCTTTTAATAAAATTTTCATAATTAATCTATAAATTAACAATTTATTAAATATCTTTCTAAATTTATAAAATTTTTTAGTTTCATTTTTCAAAATTATTATATAATCTGTCTCTATATTAAATAATATTCTTAATTTTATAAACTTTAAAAAAAGCATTATAATTTTAAAATTATTAACTTATAAAGATTTTGTTATATTTTTATATTATTAATATTAAATTACAAAATAAAATTATATATTTGTGAAAGAGAATATCTATTAAAAACTCCCATTGTAGACATCTGTACAATAATTTTATAAGCACATTAGCATTCTCCTTGTGGATATCCTTCAATTTCAACAATTTAATCAAATACTGTTTAAACAAAATAATCAGTGAACTGTTCAATGTATCTCAAAAAGGCAAAAGTATCCTTCAATCTGTTGATAATTTCTCAGTTTCTTTTTATATCTCAACACTTCAAAGAATTGGCTTCTGCCAACAATATCACTTCTAATCTCATCAAAACAAGATTATTGTAAATAATACCAGAATTGATATAATCAATTCAAGATATTTCCTAGATAATCTTCTGTATGTTATCTTCAATATCCTTCACTAGTGTTAATCAAACAACATAGTAGAAATCAGAAGCAACACAAAAATACTTTAAGACACTTTCAGCTATCCAAAAAAGATAACCAAAATCAACTTTGTATCAATAACATCAAAAATCAATAAAATTATACAAAACAAAATTAATTTAAATCATATAGACAAAATTCAAGTTGAATCCAAGATCCAACAAATCTATTCAATGAATTAATCCGACACTTTATTTCCCAGAAAGCCTGCTAATTAACAACCTGCAACTTGCAGTAGCATCAGATGGTGCAAAAAAATCCTAAGTATTATCAAATATATATAATCTGCGAGAGCACATCAGTTCTAAAAACATTCAATTCAATTCACAATCCACATGGTCTCAAAATTATTAACAAATTCAATAAGAATATTAAAAACATCAAAACTAATAAATATAATGATTTAATTGCTTTCAGAATCTATAAACTTTATCCAGAACAATATCCAAACCCTTACTGTCCCAGATGTAGCCTTTGTATTAAGGATATCCAACATGTTTTTAATATTAACAATATCTTTCTTTGAATATCCAAGTGGCCATGACCAACACTTTTCCTATCACTAGAATCAAATGAAATAATAATTATTCCAATATATTAACAAAGAAAAACATCCAGAATTCCATCAAATCAGATCAGTGGAAATAACATAATTATGTTATTTCCACTTAGTCTAGGTTATTTCTATTCAGGTATGTGTCGTGACGACAGAAATGCGATACCGTCATCAGTGTTATAACGATAGAAATGCGACACCGTCGTCAGTGTCGTGATATATATTTTATGACACATTTTGACAATAGAAATGCGACACCGTCGTCAGTGTCGTGATATATATTTTATGACACATGGATAAAAAAATATATCTGACGATGCATCCAATTATATATTGTCATTTATAGGCCCGACGTGAGGGCTATATCCGAACTTGGCACATAGTGCCTTAGCTTTCTGATTAATTCCTCAATGAGGGCCAGGTTTGAGGCACGTAGTGCCAAAATAGTATTCGTATTCTGGCTTTGTATGATGCACTCGAATATCGATCGAGGATAAGGCATGTAGTGCCGAATTGTGAACTGTTATAATTCATTCAAATATCGCCCAATGATGAGACATGTAGTGCCAAATTGTTACCTATTATATTATCCAAGCATGAGGTACATAGTGCCGAATTGTTATCCCTATTTGGTAATCCACCAAAGCATAATTTTATAATATATATATATCTGTAATAATTTTACTTTGGCGTTCTACTGATTTTTATAAAATGTTATCCCTATTTGGTAACCCACCAAAGCATAATTTTATAATATATATATATCTGTAATAATTTTACTTTGGCATCCTACCAATTTTTTTTCAAATTATATATCTAATCATATTCCATTATTCACCAAACCTTGACCCATAAATTTTAATACTTTAATATCCTACCGAATTATAATATCCGATACTTTGACGTCCTACTTTTTAGAATACTTTGATGTCCTACTTTTTTAGAGTACTTTGTACTTCGTGAAACATATCTCGAAATATATTACATGTATATTACTTACCTAGAACTGCATCTTGATCAAAATCGCATGACACAAAAATCTTTTTATATGATCCAGGTATCGGAATATTAATTTTTTATTTGAATTTTTTCTCTTATTTATTGTAAGAGGTGAAAAAAACCCCCCTACCTGAGATAAATAACTAGTTAAATGTAACAATCTCTCTTCTCCAGAAATTACTACTAAAACTAGATGATATTGTCTTAGTACCTTATGCTTGCTTTATTGAAAGATTTATAACGATTATGCGTATTCAATGATTGCTAAAGATTTATTTTTCAGCTCTTTTTTGTGCAGAGTAGTAGGAACTTTCATTTTAGCCTCAAAATTTTGCTTATATTTTAAGAAGTTGGCCTCACTTATACTCTCGTGCTCTTTTTTCCAGTAATTCTGGTTATCCCGCATTTTAAAAGCAATCTTGGTTCACCATTGTTTCAATTTTTCTTTTGACATTTGGAATTTTTGCTATAAAAGAAGGGTAAGAGTATTTATATCAGATTCGTTTTTGATGAGATATTCTGAAGATAAAGAAATTAAGGATTCAGGTAACTCTTTCTTGGCTTCAACAATGTTTGAAAATTGTTCAAAATTATTCGATTGATTTTGAGTTGATACTATAGAAGGCAATTGTGGCAAATTTGTTATGGATTTCTCAACTATATTAATGCAAGAACTCTCTTCACAAATCTCATTACTAGATAATGTGGAACATTGAAACTTTGCATCTTCTGAAACAACAATATCAGTAGTAATAGCAGAGCTAGTATCAAGACACATGGGTATTGAATCGAAAAATTCTTGAATTTCATCAACTGATTCAGATTTATATGGTGAAAGAACTGGATCTGTAAGGTGATAATTAGGATCATTCAACTTTATAGCTATTATTCTTTCTTGAGTCATAAAATCAATTTCATTATCTGACATACGATGAATCCAATAAGTACTTTTCCATACTTGTTAACCTTTTGGTCCTACTTTTTTTCGTCCACCTTTGATAGTATAACCACACCAATTACCTAGTATTGCATTAATGAATTTTATTGTAGCATTGAGATCGGGCATTCCTTTAACTCTGGTCTTAAAACCAAAGAGCAATAATGCATCTTCTCGAATTTTAACAATTTTTTCCTGTGATTGTTTGAAAGCTTTTGTCACATCATTACCAGAAAGAATATTCGTATCATCTATATCACTGAATCCTACCGATTGTAAAAGATCGTGCACTGCTCTTCATTGTTTTGCTGAATAAAATTTATGTAAATCAACTGATAATGGATCCACAGATTCGTGTGAATCTTCCCATTACATTTCTTCTTTAATTTCCAGATTTTCAATAGCTTTTGTTGCATTGGAACCTTGTCTTCTGAAATATGCCAGCCTTCTAAAATATTGTAAAGGTTCAGGATTATTATATCTTTCCACGAATTTTTTATCACAAAGTTTGATCCAATCATCATTATTCATACCCCAGTTTCGAATATTATCCTTACCTCCAATATCACCTGAAGCATATGTTCTCCATAAATAATGTCATTGCAGGATCATGTTATTAGCAAAAGAATGTTCAGAATTTAGCTTAAGCATTTCAGCTTCATTAGGATTGATATTTGGAGCATTAACTATTAATTCCGCATCTTCACCTTTAATTAATTTCTCAGTATTCTTAATAGTATGAGATACTTCTGTACAAGAAGCTTTGGCTAATTTGGTATCTTCTACTGCGATTAATTCTAGTGATGCTCCAGTACTAGCAATCAAACTACAAAGAATTTCTGGAAAATATTTGGCCGATAAGCGTCTCTGATATTCAACCTCAATATAGGTTTCTACTGCCGGAGATGAATCAAGTATATAACAGTTAGCGATTTTGTTCCATTCACGGCGCCCCTTTATTGCAGTTGGTAAATCTCCAGGTCTTAAGGCTGAAAGTTCTGCATGAATAAGGTCACGATTTGATTCTTTAAAAATCTCAGAATGTGTTTTACTATTGTAAAGAGAAACAATATGATACGGGCAATCGCAAGTTCGATAAAGTATCTGAGTAAATGCTTCAGCGTGTACTCCTGTTTTAATATTACTAATTGCTATAACTGCATCAAAATAGTTAGGAATTTCGAATGAGATGCCTGACTCCACAGTACTTGTATAGATTACACAATCAAGGCCACTTCAGGTAGCATTAATATCAGCAAAGTCATCCTGGCGTTATTTTCCATCCATTTGACTAAAATAAACACGTGACAAAATAAATGAACCGTTTGGTTTTTGCAACTTAGATGCTTGATTAGCTATTGCCTGAGCCTTTTTGCAGGAGGTTATTGAAAAGACAACATGCTTACCTTCTTTAAGCATCTCAAGACCTTTACGTATAGCTTCTGAGCCTTTATTTGAATCATAAAGGATTTTTACGGTCTTACTTTTACATAGCTGATACTTATTATCAAAAACTCAGATATTTTCACCCCGGTATTGTCTTAAGAAGGCTAAAGTCGACTCATTTGCAAAAGCATCCATGGCAGCCACGTGAACAGCCGACTTTAACAAATCCCGCATGGCATTTTCAGATTCTCGTGCATGGATTCCGCTTGCCATTTGACGCATAATACCATTTGCTTCATCTAAAATAACTACATGAGAACGACCCCCATGGAAATTAAGACGATGTGTACTTTTGACCTGAACAATAATAACATCCCAGTCCCGTATAGCTAAATTACCTTCATTTTCCTGATAATGGCATACATGAAGCCCGGATTTCTGTAATACTTTGATTTTACTTTTAGTTTCATTACTAAGAGTTTTACGATATGAAATCTAATTAAAACAAGGTAAATTTGTTTCACTTTTAGCTAAAGAATTAAGAATCTCTCTTAAGGTTTTTGTTTTTCCGCTGGCAACAGGTAAGCGAATTAGAGTTGTAGTAGGTTCCTCATTCATGAAATCTGGATAAGCTTCTGGGGCGTCCTTTATTTCCTTAACATTAATATTATTTCCAGATAAATCTACAAGTGGGTGTGGATTCTTTACAGCCTTGGGTAATCTTTCACATAACCTCCACTTCTTAGGTTTCTCTTTTGATTCAACTTTATCTGATACCTTTTCAAAGCTTAATCCCTTATGATCCAGCTTATATTGTTTTTGGCGATAACATTTAAGTACGAAATATCTATTTTTTCGAATAAATCTGTAGAGTTGATCCTTATTATGTTTAACATCACATATAGGATATTCTTTAACAGATTGTGCTTGAAAATTAATAAAACCATTTCCAATTTTTCCAATCTGAAGCCACACATATTCTTCAATAACTAGATTAGCTCCTTTATTCAAAGCATTTTCATCATTAATAGGCTGAGATTCTTGTTTTACTGGCTCTTCAGAAGAAAAGGTTCATGGCCAGATCATAGAATAATTCTTTTTAGGCTGAACCAGATAATCCTCTAGCTTTTGAAATCCATTTTTTACAGAAGAGATAGCAGGTCTTTTTATACGTCCCTCTTTCACTGATCCAAGGAGTCGAAGATTAAAATGTGTTTTGGGAAGGCCATTATCAATAAATTTCGAATAAGGTTTCCCAACTAATTCCATAACTTTCTCTATGAATTCCTTAAGTTCTCTATAATCTATGAATTGGATACAAGGATAAATAATATATCAACTGCATTTCTCAGCATTTGATGAACTCGCTAAAGCAAAAGAATTTAAGAAAGGTGTGCAATCTGGAATAAGGCTTAATGCATCTGCACAAGCAACTAAAATTCGAGATAACAAATCTTCACGAGTAATTTTTTCACTATCTAGAGAAGAATGATTAAGATTATCTGGATCAGGCTTTTGCTTTGCATCAATGTCAACTATTAAGCGAAGAGGCTGGTTACCATCAATACATTCATGAGTATTAGGTATTCTATAAACTTTTGTAGGATGATTGATCACTGTATACCCTTTTCCTACCATCCAAATTATATATTGAGAATAAATATCTTCAGGTCGATATATATTTAAAAGCACAGTATT